AGTCACTCTGGTAAAGTTGTGAGACCTTAAAAAATATTCCGATAGTTGTTTTCTGTTAACAGCATTCCTGTCTCAGTATCCAAAACCACAACATTTTGTTTTTAAGGTGAAAAGTTTAAAAAAATGATTTAAAAAAAATGTTTCTGGTGCTGCTTTATTTTAAATAATCATCTCTGGAGGTTTTTACTCTTCGTGGTGAAACTTTTTTTTTGGTCTTTAATATCTTGTGAAATTTAATTTTCTACACATTTATAAATTTGTAGTTTAATAGTGGGATTTAAAGTCTTGCTGCTCAACGACATGATTTATCAGTGTTTTCATTCATGGTGTTGGAGTTAATGTTCATGGTCATCGGTGATTTTTAAGGCAATTATTTATTATTTACATGCTGTGGATTGTTGTGAGATTGTAGAATCTCATTATTTCTCTCTCTACATTCATGAATTTACTTCTTAAAACATCTCAAGAACTTCGCAGAGAAACTAAACATTTGACTGACGTCACTCTCTTCTTAGAGCGCAGTAGACTGTAGTGACATCACCTGGTTGATTCCCAACTTCCCAACGCCTGCCTCTTACCAGCGTTTTCCTGTCAGTCGAGGATTTTTCTGTGAAAAGATTAACTTTTTACGCTGGACTTCCTGTTCATCATGTGAGTTTAAAACCATTTTGTTAACTTTAGTATTTTTTAGCTTTTGTTCCTTGAATGTGTTAAAAATCTCTTCATTTAGTTCTCTCAATGTCAATAGTTGAATAAAAAACAAAACAAATCCGAAAGAACATTCCCTAGGCGTACGCGCACGGATCTCCGACTAGCCAGAGAACGTCGACTAAGAGACGGGCTTCGGTGGAGCAGAGGACTCAGAAAGAGACGGAGATCCTTGGCCAAATCTCGGCAAACTTCATCACACGGTGGGAAACGTGCCTCCCCCGGCGGACTGAGCTGTCGCTGTCGAAACTTCCACATCAAACCTGCGAAAGCATGTGGCGGTGAGTAGAGCACCTGTGCTTTCACCTGTGTTTCCCAAACGTTTTATTTATCGCTTGGTTAAAACCTTCCTCCGTTAAGAACTCGTGCCTTCACGATATCGATTATTTTTCGCTTTGCTTACCATCCATCCTGGTAGCTAACGTTTCAGTGAAGTAGAGTAGTGAAGTAATACGTGATTTTATTGGTCAGTTGGTCTCTAATGAAAACATATTCACTCCTGTGTAATAGACTCACTCCTGGTTTTTGTTTGTTGTAGCCAAGACTTTTTACATTAAAAGGATAAAAGTAAAATAATATATTAATAAGTTCCTAAACAATTCTTCAAAAATAAAAGTTTCTCAAA